TTATAGATTGGTGAAAGCTGGTCACGATGTACACTTCTTGGAGACGTCATCTGAGGAGGATTCATTCCAGTTTCCGAAAGGAATAACGAATCATTTCATGCATATACCGACACGTGTTCCAAAAGATTTGAGTGAGATGTGGAAAGGGTTCAGTGAACCAGAGGTTATACCTCGAGACGAATACCTTGATTCCGATTTTGGAACCTCAACTGATCTATTCATTCACAAAATTCACCTCAGAATTGCATTTTCATGTGCAAGAGGATAATTTCATGAGGAATCGACTAAAGGTGCATGATTTTTTGAAAGGTTTAAGTTTTTATAACATCTCAGGTGCTTGTTGAGCTGTTCTCGATTGGTGATGAGGCGGTTCATTCGGTGATGAAAAATGCTTCCGAACAGGTAAGGGCTGGATCGTTAATAAAGTAGCGAGCTTAACGGGCTTAATCAACATTCCCAACGCAATCAAAATTAATCACCGTTCATGAGTGGTATTTGCCGTTCTGCTATTATTAACGAATATCGAAGTATTTTTCAATCCTGTATAATTTTTAAGCTGAAAATTCAATAAATGCCAAGGTATCGAAAATCACCCTGACAAAATGTCCTTAATCTTAGTCATTCCTTCTGCAACAAACTCAGATGTTCTGCTAGATCAGAGTTACTCAGTTGATTTCCGTTCAGATCAAAGAAGTCATGAGCACCGAATGGGACGTTGTATTCTCAGACGATCTATTCGCAATGGGAGGCTTTGGGATGGCGCTGAGAAATTCAAGGATCAACCGTAAACCGTACATAATGTACAGTACGACCATTATGCTGCAACTATACGGTTGGGAACAGGCACTGTGTGAGGAAAATAACTTCAATTTGATTCCAGTCTTATGGAAGTTTCTCTTGAAACTTTCGCTCCTTATATGGCTCAATATCTGATTAACGGACTTACGTACAGTTGCAACTTATCAACGTGATATTGGATTCGAATCACCAACTTTCATATGAATCATCGTTCGTATCCACATGAATGGATAGGTTTCAGCACGAGTGTTCACAAGTCGTCCAGCTTTATATTCACTGCGCGAGGATAATTTGGATTACGATGTGACGAATTGTTTTCACCGACTGCTGGCGGTTTTCGCTGAAGCGTTGGCTGCTGTTCGAGTGAAATACAACATTGAAC